TCAAAAAAAAAAAAAAAAAGAAAGTCAGTCTCAGTGGGACCCCTGACAGCCCCTACCTTTATCTTCTTCCAGAGCAGTCCGCAGGGTGGCCTTTGAGGAGGCTGGTGGTGACAGCCAGGCCTGCAGTGATGACTTTCTCCTCTCAGCATCGCTAAGTCAGAGGGGTTTCTGTGTCAGTGTTTGTCCCTATGTGGCTGTGGGGCTTTGCAGCAATGAGAACTAGGGTACCTGGCTTGGCCACACAGGTAATGGCACAGCCCAAGGTCTCATCTGGGGCAGCCTGAAGGCTCCAAGACCCACATATTTCCTGCAGCCCCAGTTTTGGCCTGATGGTGAGTAGCTTGAGAACAGGAACCCCAACCATCTTCCCCTTTGCTGGTTGCCCAGCACCTGCTACAGACCCTGGCCCACTCAGTCCATGCTCAGGAAATTTGCTTCTTAAAGTTAGAACAATCCTGAATTCCTCTGGGCACAGCAAGGGCACCAGCGCTTTACCTCCCTTCATTTGGCCTGGAAACACTGACTCAGCACTCCACCTACTGGGTCCTACATGGGTGCTCTCTGCCCTCTGCCCTCACAGCAACCTTCAAGTACAGAGATGGCAGGCAAAGCCCTGAGAGGTGAATTAAGCTATCCTAGGGCACAGGAAGTGGTAGCAGAGCCAGGATTCAAACCCAGGCCTAGACCCAGAACTATATCCTGTCAGAGAGGGTGGGTGGCCTTATCCCCCATTCCTCCTGGGCTCCCTGGCCCCCTAGCACCAGATGCTACTACTGTTCTGCACCTCTGGTGCGGAGGAGGGTTGCCATGGCGAAAACCTGACAGGAAGGGGGGCAGGGGCAAGCTCCACAACAAGGACCGATTCCCAGGTCCTGACTGGAAGTGAAGTGGGAGCTTTCTCTTCCTTCAGCCCCTCACCCCAAGGTGTTGTTTCCATGGAAACAGGCCCATTGTCTTGTCCCTTCCTGCTGCCTTCAGTGTGTCTCTCTGTATTGGGGTCCCCTGCATGGACAACTTGTGCACTGCCACCCTGCTGCTCTCTAGTGTCTGTACATGGTGCCCAGAGCCAGCCAGACAGCCCTGACTGCACCCTTGGGGCTCTCCTCTCCAGAGCATCTGATCCCCAGAGCCATCACCCTCTGCCCTCTCCACCCCTCAGGAGAAACACATGGAGACCCCCTCCAGCATAGCCTCTGCCCACCTGGCTGGGCATCCCTCCCTGCAACCCTGAGATTCAAGCTCTCTAGCGAGACCTTTCCTGTCCCTGCTCTTCCCTCCCCCCATAGGCAGGGAGCAGCTGGGCGCCTCTCCTAGAAGGCCCCAGCAGACATGGGCCCCAGTGGGCTGTTTTAGTGCGTCCCCTCATGTGGTGGCGACTAAGCAGCTAGGACCGCCTGTATGAGAAGATGAGAGCCCAGCGGAGTGAGGCTCCCAGCTGGAACTAGAGAGTACTTTAGCTCTACCAGTGGGCCCATCCCAGGAGGAGTCCCCTTCCCTTCACAGTGAGCCCAGCACAGCTGTCACAGGCTCTCACTCAGGACATGCCCTGCCCCCCTTGCAGGAGCAATTTTCTCATCTGGGAGAAGAGGGGGTGAGGTGGGGAGAAGGGTTTCTGAGGGCCCCTGGGGTTGAGATTCTGACTCTCCTTTCTTTCTCTGCTGCCCTCTTGTCAAGGGAGAACCTGGGTTGATGACAGGTTCTGTCATCAGAGACAAAAACAGAAAAAGCTAAGAACTGACAGCCTGTGAAATTGCTTGATAAGAAGTATATAGTTGTCAAACAGCATGCAGATTTCTATAAACCCAGGTGTGGCCCTTGGGAGAACCTTATGAAATAGCTTCCTTTGGGACTGGGATCCAGCAGGGGACCTGCCCAGAGGTTGGAAGGCTTGCAGCTCCCTCTAGTGGCTGAAGCTGGTGCCTTTTGCCTCCTCTGTACCTTGCTCCTTCCTGTGCTTGCTGCAAGCTCAGCACCCACCTGGCAGCCCGACCCAGGCTCTCTGGGGCAGAGATCCCAAACCTCAGGGAGCAACAGTCAGTGGGGAGCTTCATTAAAACCCAGTAAGTACAGTCCTTACCTTGAACAATGGCCCTGATTTTCTAATGTAGTTCTCCAGTCAGGGTGGGGGGGTCCTCGGGCCTGCAGACCTTACAGCAACACAGAGATGCAGACAAGACCCTGCTCCCAGGGTACTCCAGGCTAGGGGAGGAGGTTCTAGGTTCTGTGTCCAAAACCCCACACGGTCTCCTCAGGGAGCTGCCCTCACTATGTGCTGTCACACAGGACTGGCGTCATCCTCCCTGCCATCGTGCCTGATGACAGCACCTCACAAACGAGACGCCTGAAGTACAGAGAGGCAGCCTCTTGCCCATGGTCACACAGTGAGGACAGGGAAGTGTGGTCTTCTGCCTGCAGGCCCTCTTCAGAGCATCATGACGGTCTCCAGGTTAGGATTGGCATCGTTTCCCTACATCTTTGCAGACTGTTGGGGAAAGTCAGAGGCCTGGACATAAGATCAGCCCTTCCCCTGGCTCCCTACCAGATCATTACCTCCCCTGAGTTCTGTGAGGTGACCTACAGTGACAGTATCTTTCATGAACTCGTCTAGCTTCCACTGATTCACAGGTGGATAGGCTAACCTGGCTAGCAAGGTGGTCTAGCTCTATAGAGCTGTAATCACTGGGCTACTGGATTTGAGGACTTCAGGCTCTCCTATGTCAGCCCTGGGAGCTGGGGATCTCAGATCCCTCTCCTGGAAATCTGGGCCCTTGTCCAGGATGGAATGTTGGGGAAGTGCCTCCTGGCTTCAGAGTGTCCTAAGGACCTATGGGTCCCAGTTCTGGGTCAGTATAGTCCTGAGGAGCACAGGGCAGGCCCCAGCTGGTGTTTAGAAGCTATAGTCTGATCTGGTAAACCTGAGTCCCATCACCAGCAGGGAGTGAGGGGTTCTGATCACATGATGCAGATTAGGGGAGCAGAGTAAGTGTCCTCTGAGTGACCAATCCCATTCAGCTCCAGAGAAAAGGCAGCTGTCCTCATTCTTATTGTCAGACATCATAATCCCTTGGGCCTGGCCAGGGCAGACATCACCAACCCAGGGAGGTAGTAGGTAAGTGAGGGTGTGCATCTCACCCAGTTGGTATCTGCTGTTGCTGCCCGTTATTATGGTGTTATTAACATTGCTCTGAACCCTTACGTAGCTTGTCATTGCCCACTTGTTCATCTTATTCAATAAGTATCTATCTTTGAAATGTCTGCTCTGTGCTAGGCACTGTTCTGAGTTCCTGGGACAGCAGAACAGAATGAACAAAGTCCCTGCTCTAGGGAGAGAGCAGGACGGGGCAGGGAGTGACTGGGACTTTTAGAAAGGGTGTCCAAAGAAGGCCTCTCTGACAAAGGGGGACTGGAGAGAGACCGGAATGGAGAAAGAACCCCTCATGGACATCTAGGAGAAGAATCTTCTGGATGAAGGGAAGGTGAAGCCCTGACACATATAGGAAGATGGAACCCATTGTCCTCATGTCCATCCTTTTGAATATTGCCCACCTCCCTCTCACCTGTACCACCTTGCTGGCCTTCGGACATAACTGACTGCAGGCCCTGGGTGCCCCAGTCTGTCCCTCCACCAGAATGTTGACGCTTACATCCTGCCGCTGTTGACATTACACAGCCCCCTCCTCTCACTGGCATCAGTGTTTGCAGCTCATCTCTGGCTTAGCCCTCCTCCTTTGTTTTTTGAGACAGGGTCTTAACTCTGTCACATAGGCTAGAGTACAGTGATGTCATCATAGCCCACTGCTGTCTCAAAATCCTGTGCTCAAATGATTCTCCCACCTCAGCCTCCTGAGTAGCTGGGACTACAGGTGCACACTACCATACTCAGCTATTTTTATTTTTTGTAGAGGCAGGATCTTGATATTGCCCAGGCTGCTGACCCACTTTGAAGCTTGACTCTCTCATTAGCCTTCTTTGGGTCACACATACTTTGTAAAAAAAGCAGGTGGCAGTACCTGTGGCTCAAGGAGTAGGGCGCCGGCCCCATATGCTGGAGGTGGCGAGTTCAAACCCAGCCCCGGCCAAAAAAAATGGTTTGTTGACTGTTGATGTTTTCTTCCCCGTTGACCTTAGCAGGGCTGATTCCCCTGCCATGCAGTAGGCTCCCAGCACATGAGCACTCTGGACACAAAGAATTTTTCCTTAAACCAATTTCTCTGTCAGAGGCATGGAAACGAATTCTGAGTATCAGTTCTCTCTCCCAGCTTTAGTCTGGCCCTATAAAATAGTGGGAGCATGTCCTGATGAAGACAGGCTCTTCCCCAGCCTATCCCAGCCCTCTCCAGGAAGGAGCTGGGCAGAGTGCAGGCCTTGGAAGCAGGCTCCTCCACCCCTGCCGCCTCTACCCCACAGAGCTTTGCTGCTTCCCAGCTGCTTCTCCTGCTTCAAGATCTGGAGATTGCTTTGCTTACCTGCTCCAAAATGCTGCCACCTCTGGGGAGGGACCAGACATCTGCTTAGTAGGCCAAGCATGTAAAATAAACCCCCGAGGAAAGGAAATGGGGACGGAGGTGTCCATTGCATCAGTGAGGGCTCTAAGATGGCAGAATTTAATCGCTTTAGCAATGCTGCACCAGACAAGGGCCTTAGCGGCACCAGGAAAGTGAACCCTCAGATCCTTGGCCGCTCAAGCCCTTCTGGCACAGCCATCAGTCTCCCCTCCCACCCCCTTCTGGGCAGCCTCCTACCCAAGTCTCGGGCAGCACCAAGAAGGAAGGCTTAGCCAGATTCGTAGGAAGTCCCAAAGAGTGAGTTCAGTCTGGCCCAGATAAGGCTATGGGCATGAGCAGGGCCTGCGGTGCCTCAAGGGGGCAGGCGCTGCTGGAACCAGGGCTCCCAGTCCAGCCCTGTTAATAGCCCAGGAGAGGAGGCAGATGCCACCGTGCTGTATTCACAACTGAAGTGATACAGGGAGGTGGTATGAGCACCAGGGAGATCGCCAGCCCTCGCTGTGGAAGGTGACTGGCAGGAAATAACATGAGTGGCTTCCTAACACTCGGGGAAAGGCAGCCAGCAGTTGGAGGGCAATGGCTCCAATTTGTAGGCTGGGGGGTCAGGTCTGCCTCGCAGTGCCCCCTCCTCCTGTCAGAGGATCAGATGGCCTCACCCTGGGGCTGCAAATAAAGGGCAAGTAGAAGCCTGGGGAAGAGGAGAAATACGTGTCTCCAGCCTGGAAGAGAGCTGCTCTTCCCCCTTAGTGCAGCATGTCCTCTCTGTCCTCTGCCTTCCGACTGTCCCCTGTCTCCCCCCTCAGTGCCGGGCTCTTGTTAGTGCTCCTGACCCTTCCTGAGGGGCAGGCTTTTCTTCCAGCACAGGCAGCTGGGACTGAAGGGTATGCCCAGGCTGCTGACACTGGATTGGCAAGACCAGCTCCTGGCACCGCCACTCACTGGCCCTGGAAGCTATGTGTCCCCTGCCCTCAGCTATAGAAAAGGGCAAATGGCACCTGCGTCATGGTATGGCCAGCATGATGCGCACTGGAGGGGACTATGGTCCTGCTTTGTGAGCCGTGATGCTGCCTGTGATGTCAGCTGCTTGTGAACAGCCTCTTGGCAAGACGAACTCACCGACTGTCTTTGATTCTAGAGTCTGAATCCTTCCCCCAGCCTCACCCTTCTGGTTAGGGGAAGACAGCCCCTTCATTGTCCCTACCAGTGGGGTCCTGCTGAGGCTGCCAGGGAGGGGGGGCAGAAAGAGTCTTTCCTTTTGCATTCCTAGGTGCCCCACTGGCCTGGTTGCCAGATCAGCAGATTGGGAGGGAGACAGTAAGACAGTAAGCCTAGGACCCACATCTGAGGTGTGGACGGTCCACAGGATGGGGCTGGAGCCAAACCTACTGAGCGCTCACTCACCCCCTTCCCTGCCTGTGTCCCTTGTCTCCACAGGTAAAACGGGTCAAATTGCCACAAAGTCCAGCAACTGCGTGATTTCCTGAGCCACAGGATGTGGTGGGAAGCACCTGTGGATGCCCGCCTGTCCTGTCCTGGGCTGTGGAGAGCACGTGTTGCATGCTGTACCAGTTTGCACATTAGACTCCAACTGGCCTCCTGCCCTGCAGCCTCTCTCCTGGCCTCCGGGAGCCTGAATCCTAGATGGGAGGGACCGAAGCATCTCAAGACAATCACACACCTCCACCAAACTGTTGGTGGCTGGGTGGCAGAGGTCACTGCCACCTTGTTTACATGAAGTGGAAGCCTGACCAATGTCCTCTCTCCTTTATGCCTGCCTGACCCTCCCTCTGCTGGGCTAGCCTTGCCCTGCAGGTCCCTAGATGGGGCGAGAGAATGTCTTTGTACCTTATCAGGATGGAGTCTCCATGGCAGCCCCAGCACCCTGGCTTCTCCTTACCTGTGCTTCCTGGTGCTTCTGGCCCCCACCCCCAAAAGACTGGTGGAATAAAAGAGAAGACAGGGTTCTAAGCCACAAACCCTGAGTCCCAGCTTTGCTCTGGCCTCTGAACTCAAGATGGAAGAGGCAGATGGGACAGCTGGGGCACTGGCTTCTATGGCCTTTGTAGCTGGGTCCTTGTAGGCTTCTGCGCTAGACTCTGAATGGTTTGAGGGGAATATGCCTCAGCCTCCCCCGCCAGTGGCAGAATTTGACACCACCATTCTGAGAGCCTTCATACTGAAGCCTCCTTTCTCTTTGTGCCACCTTACCCATCTTGGCCTGAGTGGCCCAGGCCTCCTTGGCTTTGCCTGTTGTAAGCCTATGTGGGGCTCTTATAGTGCCTTTACCTGGACTGTGCCTTCCTCGGCATATTTTGGTTTGCAGCCTAAGGCAGGGGATATTGATGAGGGAGGCTGTGTCCCATGTGCTCCCTAAGGAGCCTTTGCCCCTTTCCCTGTCCCTCAGTGGTCCTCAGTCCCTTTCACCAGCCAGGGCTTCCCCTGTTCCATCTCAGCCCCAGACTAGCCTTAGCCTCCCAAGCAGGGCTGCCTGATTGCCATGATGCTGGGCCAGGGCAACCAGTAGACACTCCCACACTGCCCCCTCCCCACGTGGGGACTGAAGGGGGCTGAGGAGAAGAAATTGCAGACTCAGTGGGCCCTGTGGGCAGGGTGACAGAGGGTCAGAGCCTCAGAAAGCAGAAGGTTCAAGTGCCCATGAAAGCCACATGGCAGCCTTCCTCAGCCTCTGAACTAAACTTCTGTACTCGTTTTCTTCTGAAAAGCCCAAGGACATCACCAGCACCTGGGGGAGAGACACAGATGTCTGCAAGGCCACTGATGTGAGAGGCAAGAAAAGGGGATATGCTGGTGGGGTCAGCACAGGGCAGCCACTGAGGAACTTCTAGGCTCTGGCAGTGGGGAGGGGAAAAGAAGGGGAGCCTGAACCAGGCATTCCTGCTAGCCCTGACAGGTGGGGGAAGGGACTCTGACCCACCTCTCAGAGCATTTGTGAGGATTAAACACTTCTGGGAGGTGATTCCTTAGACATCAAGGCCTAACAGTGCCCTATGAGCTTGTTCAGGGGGGTGGCGGGGGAGGTAGGGAAGGGAGAGAGGTGACATGGAGGTGTTGAGGTAGTTATACCTCAGCTCCAAGTGGTTACCTTAAAGGCATCAGACATAAGATGCATAAATTACAGGGGGGAAATGACTTCACCCTCTGTGTAGAGGCTGGACCCCTCCTTGGACAAGGGAGGAGACTTAAGGAAGGGACCATCTTCTAAGCAAGTCAGCCTAGGGCTTCTCATGCCTCTCCCATGAGAGAAGCTCAGGTCCTTCCCTTGCCCTGGCACTTAATCTAGGAGGATTGCCAATCAGAAGTTCCAAATCGCTGTAGACTTGAGCCAGGCCTTCCTTTTCTGCCTTAGTTTCTCCAGGTGCCAAGATGGGATTTTTCTCACTTTCTTGACAGAAACGAAGGGGAGACCATATGCTAACGAGGAAGCAGCTGAGTGTAGTGGGAAGAGTGGGCCTGTGCAACAGGACCGCCCAGGCAGGTGGTCCTTCCTTTCCATCCTCAGCATCCTCATCCTTACAGAGGTTTGGAAAAGACAGTCTCTGGCCCCCTCCAGCTCCATGATGCTTGAAGAGACTATAGTCCACAGATCACTGAGGATGTTGAAGTCATAAAATGCAGCCCTTAATGTTTGCTTGTCTGCCTAAGCACCGGCCCACTCTGTTCTGCCTCTTGGCTTCTCAGCTTTGAGTGCATCTGCCCTCTGTTCCAGCACTTGCACGCACTTTGTGAAATATTCTTACTCATCAAATCTCAAGGGTACATCTGGCCTTCCCAGTTGGATGGCAAGTTCAAGCATGGATCATGCCCTTGGTCCCTGCACAGCAGCTTCAACAGGGCTAGTGATGCAGTAAGGGCTCTTGGCAGAACAGGATGGAGCTGCACTCTCAGGGCTGGGGTCTAGTAGGGCTCCTCCCTCCCCCCAAGCTGCTGTCTCACTTTGAGTTAGGCTTTTGTATGGGGGAGTGTTAGAACTGGTACAGCTCTTTGGCAAGGCCCCTCTCCTGGCAAGCCCTGTGGGTGGCTGCCCTGGCTTCTGCCCCATCAAGGCAGGATGCACAAGACTCCTACATGGGGTTGAGAGGCTGTCCCTTGAGATTTGACACTCCCGTCTCCTTTGTTGGCTGTCTGTCCTGCAGTTCAGGGCACGTTTTCAAGGTAGCCTCTGCTAACATCATTCCCTGTGCCTATATAGAACTTTACAGAAAGACTAGACAAAACAAAACAAAACCAAAAAAAAATGAGTCCTAGAGATGGGGAAGAAGTTGGCCAGAGAGGGGAACTGGGATTTTTTTTTTTTAAACTACTGCATTGCTTTTCTCTTTTTCATCTATTGAGTTCCTACTAAATGCCATTTACTACACTAGATGTTTTAGTCACAGGCAGGTTTCAAAGTAAGAAAAGCTCTAGAAAGAGCCCTTTGCACAGTAGCAGTTTCCCTGTGTATGTGGGAAGTGTGCCTCGTAGAGTTGTATGGTGAGCAATGCCGGTTGTACCATCCCCATTTTTCAGATGAGGAGGTGTCCGGCTCTCCCCAAATCCTGTTTCCCATAAAATGCAGATCCAGCCTGCTCCTCGAGCCCAGGGTTTTAGCCCTAGTGACACAAAATCCCAGTGGCAGAGACTATCCCGAACTCTGCCTACTAAGTAGCACCCCTTCAGATTGAGACAACCAAAAATGTCTCTACATGTTACCAAATGTCCCCTGGAGATCCTACCTGAGCTTGCTGGCCCTGCTCTGCAGCCCTCACCTTGAGGCTTGGACAGGCTCCTGCTCTGAAGTGTTCCTGTGCACCCTATCCAGGGGGGCTCAGATGCAGTGCTTTGGCCCAACAAGGGTGGCCGACTTGCCTGGGACGTTGCTTTCTGGGACAGACGTACTCGCATCTTCCATCTCTGTTCTAGTTACTGCCTTGTGCTCCCCAGAACAGGTGTGTTTATGTGCCTGCATCTGCCTTACCCTGCTCAGCTCCCTGTCAGGTTTTCTCCCAATCTGTTCCCCTTCCTTCAGTCTCAGCTACGTCCTGCATGGAAAGCACAATTGGACATGCTTGTGTCTGCCCAGCAGTGGCCCCACCTCCAAAAGCAGCAAGGCTAACAGCAGAGAGCCTTCCACACTCTAATCAGGCCAGGCAGGGATTGCCATCTGACTGTCATGACCACATTCTGAGCGAACATCGAGAGAGCCCCCTAGTAGCTAATTAGCCCTGCCATGTGCTGTGGATGTAGTTTATCATCTGGCAGTGTGCCACACTCATCCCTCCCTGCCCAAAGGCCCCAGTGGCTGTCACTGATCATCTGCACTGCTGTTCCAGAGGCAGGAGGCATGCTGAAGAACAGGCACCCCAGACTCAGGGAGTTGGACCAGACCAAGGTTGGGTGAGGAAAAGGGCAGGAAGTGGCAGGCACATACATGAGAGTGTTCTTGAGCTGAGTAATTGCAAAATCCGCCCCAAAGCCACACAAAGTTAGGCAGCCTGAATTTCTTACTCCTGCCTTGAAGCTTCTGCCCTCCTAGCTACAGAGGAAGGACTGGCTTCCAGAGGCCATGTACTGCTGCAATCCCCATCTGTCCCTAGGCTTCCCAGCCTCTGAGCACAGGACCTCACCAGTCTGGCCCACTGTTGGTAACCATGGTATATACCTAATACCTATTTTTTAAGTGATTGAAGACTTGACAGCTACTCAATACAGAGAATAAGCCAGGCTAATAAGTGGGTGGTGTCAGAGATTCCAGAAGTGATTATGACCTTTCTGTCTTCCTGACTGCTGATACAGGAAGCTAAATAGGATTCTGCTGTGTGCTGTTTAAGGACTGGGTTTATCAAAAATCCCTCCTGATCCAATCCTTTTCCTAAGAAGATCTCTCCTTTCATTGCAGGTTCTAAGAGGATGGTCTTCTCCCAGGTCCTCCAGAGTAGGTTATACCCAAGCCCCTAGATGTTCAGGGATGACCTTCTCTCTTCTCTGCACGCTTCCTTTCAAAAGGCTATAAAAATGAGAGGAGGCAAGGGACCATGAAGTGAGGAAATTTGTCCAAAGTCACCCAAGGAGTCATGAGGACTAGAACCCAGTTATCTGGACCAGCCTAGAGCACTTTCACTACACTCTATGACCTCTCCAAGTGACAGCCAGCTACAAACACGTTTTCATCCAAAAAAGCAGTTAGAAGTTAAGGCATTGCCTGCAGCCATTAAAAACCAGCTTCGGGAGCAGATGTCCACGTAATAGGAGACAGGTTAGGACCTGCCGCAGATGTCATAAGTGCACGGGAGCCTGGAGGAGGAAAGGAGCAAGAGGCAAAGGCGGTCAGGAGGCCAGTCATGCCCACAGTGCTGTGGGGGCAAAGTCCCACCATGTGCAAAGAACATCCTTGTGATTCTTATTTCCTGCTTGTGGCTTTGACTCCCTGGTTCGTATCTTTCTGGACGTGTCCTAGAAGTTAGGTGTTGGCAGGAAGCATTCATTTGTACATTCAAGGGATATTTATGGGCACCAGACCTGGGGATACATGGTGAGCCAGGAAGGTGCTGGTGGGACTTGTTATGGTCTTAAGGCATCATGGCTGTGTGTTGTTTGCTGTGACCTTGGTAGGGGCATGTGGTGGAGAAAGGACAGGCTTTCGGATAGGCAGGTGCAGGCTGGAATCCCAACTCTGCCACTGAACCACCACTAGCCTTGCAAACAATTCCACTTCCTGAACTTCAACTCCGGTCTCCTTGTGTGTCAAATG